ATGATATCACCATTTTATATCATCCGGGAAAGGCCAATGTGCTGGCCGATGCTTTGAGTAGGAAGTCAGCCAGTATGGGCAGTCTTGCTTACATTCCGGTCGGTGAGAGGCCGCTTGCTTTGGATGTTCAGGCTTTGGCCAATCAGTTCGTGAGATTGGATGTTTCTAAGCCCAGTCGTGTGTTAGCTTGCACGGTCACCCGTTCTTCATTATTGGAGCGCATCCGTGATCGGCAGTATGATGATCCCCATTTGTGTGTCCCTAGAGACACGGTGCAGCGCGGAGGTGCCAGGCAGGTTACCTTAGATGATGATGGAGTTTTGAGATTGCAGGGCCGAGTATGTGTGCCTAATGTGGATGGGCTCCGAGAGTTGATTTTGGATGAGGCCCATAGCTCCCGGTACTCTATTCATCCGGGCGCCGCGAAGATGTGTCAGGATTTGCGGCAGCATTATTGGTGGCGTAGAATGAAGAAGGATATCGTAGCATATGTGGCTCGTTGTTTGAATTGTTAGCAGGTTAAGTACGAGCATCAGAGGCCTGGTGGTTTATTTAAGAAGATTGAGCTTCCCGAGTGGAAGTGGGAGCGGATCACTATGGACTTTGTTACTGGACTCCCGCTGACTCGGAAGAAGTTCAATGCAGTATGGGTCATTGTTGATAGGCTGACCAAGTCAGCTCATTTCATTCCTGTGGCAGTCTCCTATTCTTCTGAGAGGTTAGCTGAGATCTACATTCGGGAGATTGTTCGCCTTCATGGTGTGCACGTATCTATCATTTCGGACCGGGGTACGCAGTTTACCTCGCGTTTCTGGAGAGCAGTTCAGCGAGAGTTGGGCACACGAGTTGAGTTGAGCACAGCATTTCATCCCCAGACGGACGGTCAGTCAGAGCAGACTATTCAGATTTTGGAGGATATGCTCCGAGCTTGTGTTATTGACTTTGGAGGCTCGTGGGATCAGTTTTTGCCTTTAGCAGAGTTTGCCTACAACTACAGATACCAGCCGAGCATCCAGATGGCTCCTTATGAGGCTTTATATGGTAGGCGGTGTCGGTCTCCGGTTGGATGGTTTGAGCCGGTAGAGCCTCGGTTGTTGGGTACGGATCTGGTTCAGGAGGCCTTGGACAAGGTCAGGATCATTCAGGATAGGCTTCGTTCGGCTCAGTCCAGGCAAAAGAGCTATGCAGATCGCAAGGTTCGAGATGTGGCTTTCATGGTTGGTGAGTGGGTATTGCTCCGAGTGTCGCCTATGAAGGGCGTGATGAGATTTGGGAAGAAGGGCAAGCTTAGCCCTAGGTTCATTGGTCCGTTTGAGATTCTTGATCGAGTGGGACAGGTGGCTTATAGACTTGCTTTGCCGCTGAGCTTATCAACCGTGCATCCAGTGTTTCATGTGTCTATGCTTCGGAGGTATCACGGCGACCCAACCCACGTGTTAGATTTCAGCACTGTCCAGTTGGACAAGGACTTGTCTTATGAGGAGGAGCCGATGGCTATTCTAGACCGGCAGGTTCGTCAGTTGAGGTCGAAGAGTTTCCCTTTTGTTTGTGTTCAGTGGAGAGGTCAGCCTCCTAAGGCATCGACCTGGGAGTCCGAGTCCAATATGCGGAGCCGTTATCCTCATCTTTTCCCCGACTCTGTCCGTTCGAGGACGAACGGTTGTTTTAGAGGTGGAGAATGTGACGACCCAAAGGGGTCATCACCTGTTTTTAATTGAATTCTGTGTCTTCGAGGCCTTGAAAACCTCATTTAGAGTCTCCTCGATTAGCGTGCGCAGTCCGAGCGCGTAGCCGGAAAGCTTAAATACGAAATTCTGTAAAAAATGCTAAGTTTTGATGTTAAAATGAATAAATTTGACCTTGGTCAACGTTTTGGGTAAACGGACCCGGACCAGTGATTTGACGGCCCCGGAGGGTCCATAGGAAAATATGGGACGTGGGCGTATGCCTGGAATCGAATTCCGAGGTCCCAAGCCCGAGAAATGAATTTTTTAGTAAAATTGTTTTCTGAAATTGTTTAAGGAAATTGGAAATAAAATCTGATTAGAAAGCGATGGTATCGGGCCCGTATTTTGGTTCCGGCGCCCGGTACAGGTCTTATATGAGATTTAAGTCCTTCCTGTGAAATTTGGTTGAAAACGGATGTCGTTTGACGTGATTTGGACCTAAATTGGAAAAATTGATCTTTTATGAAGTTTGAAAGAATTCTGGATTTTAAGGTTTAATTCGATGTTTATGATGTTATTTTGGCGATTTGATCGCACGAATAAGTCCGTAGGATATTTTTGAAGTTGTGTGTATATTTGGTTTGGAGCCCCGAGGGCTCGGGTGAGTTTTGGATAGGCCACGGGGTGCATTTTGAACTTAAAAATTTGCTGGTGTGTTCAGGCCTGCAATGCGAAGCCTGGCTCGCAATTGCGAGCTCGCAAATCCGAAGGCTGGATCGCAAATCCGAAGCCAGCCCAGGCCACTCTTCCTCGCAAATGCGAGCTGCCTCTTCACAAATGCGAAGTCGCAATTGCGACTATTGCTTCGCAAATGCGAAAGCTGGGAAATTATGAAGGGTTCGCAAATGCGAACCCTGTTTCGCATTTCCCACATCTGCAGAGGTCGGGGTTCGCAATTGCGAACCCCTGTTCGCATTTCCCATATCAGAGACCTGCAATTTTCTATACTTAGCCGATTTTTAAGTAATTTTTACGCCATTTTCAAAATACAACTCCTTTGGGCGATTTTTTCAAGAACAATCTTCTTCCAAATCAATTGTAAGTTAGTTTTTACTCATTTCTTTCAATCATTAACATCTTTTAACATGATTTCAACCTAAAATCAAAGATTTTCATGGGGGAAATTGGGTGTTTTGGGTAGAACCTAGGTTTTTCAAAAAATTGGGGATTTGGACCTCGATTTGAGGTCCGATTTCAAAACAAATTACATATTTGAGTTCGTGGGGGAATGGGTAATCGGGTTTTGGTTCGAACCTCGGGTTTTGATCACGTGGGCCGAGGGCGATTTTTGACTTTTTGGGTAAAACTTTGGAAAACTCATTTCCATGCATTGGGGTTGATTCATTTAGTGTTTATTGATGTAATTAAGTAATTTGTGATTAGATACGAGCGAATTGGCGGTAGAATCAAGGGGTAAAGCTATAATTGAGACTTGAGTTGTGTTCAAGGCATCGAGGTAAGTGTTTGGTCTAACCTTAGCTTGAGGGATTAGGAGTTGAGTCCTATTTGCTATGTGGTATTAGTCGTGTACGACGTATAGGCATGGCGACGAGTATCTATACGTTGGTGTTTAGCATGACCGTGAGTCTTTATATTGTGAATATCTTGATTTCATTGTATTCTTCATGCTTTGGTGATGATTTCTAGTTGTTGTGAAAAGTTTGTGGAAGGAATTGAGACCTTTGAACATCTTGGAGCATTGGCTCGAGTTATGTTGTGAATTGTGAAAGTATATGAGATGATTGAACCCTTTGGAGCATTGGCTCAAGTGGTAAAGCGAGTTATGAAGTAAATTTGAAAGGTAGAGAAAGAGTTATTGAAATGTTCCCTTGCCGGGGTTTAATTATTTAATTGTTGTTCCCTTGCCGGGATTTAATTGTTTAATTGTTGCTTCCTTGCCGGGATTCCTATATGTTCTTATTTAATTCCCTTGCCCTTGTTTGTGATTGTTGTTTGGGTGAGGATGAGTGTTAAAGCACGAAGGGTGATGCCGTGCATTGTTTGCTTTGGTGAGGAAAGAGAGCAAAAGCACGAAGGGTGATGTCGTGCCGCACGATGTACCATTCCGTGCCAATTCTATTGATTATATGTGAGGAAAGAGAGTAAAAGCACGAAGGGTGATGCCGTGCACATTTTATTATCCTAATTGCTTTAATGAGGAAAGAGAGTAAAAGCACGAATGGTGATGCCGTACACGTTTTCATTATATTATTGCTTGGTGAGGACGAGAGTAAAAACACGAAGGGTGATGCCGTGCACTTGTTTGATTTCTGCTTCTTGTTGACATTGTAGTTATTTTGTTCCTTTCCTTACTTGGTGCTTTATTCGGAACCGTTATCTCCCCGCAACATGTTTCCCCCTCCCATCCTTATTTGTTTATTTCTGCTTTGTTTTCGCTGTATATTATATAATTACACAGGTTTATGTGGTAGTCTGGTCTAGCCTCGTCACTACTTCGCCGGGGTTAGGCTAGGCACTTACCAGCACATGGGGTCGGTTGTGCTGATACTACACTCTGTGCTCTTTTGCACAGATCCAGGTCCCGGAGTAGCATTTGGTCATCAGTAGTAGATTGGGAGCTATCCTTCAGCCCGAGACTCCGAGGTAGCCCTGTTGGCGTTCGCAGGCCCGGCGTCTCTTCTTTCAGTTTTTATGTTCTGTTGTCATTTGTACTCGAGACAGACTATGTTCTTTCTTTCAAACACTTATTTGTAGTAATCTTAGACAGTCCGTGGATGTTGTGACACCAGGTTCTGGTTAGAGGCACGTGTTGGTTTTCAGGATGTTTTGGTTTTATATTTTATTTAAGACTTCCGCTAAATTTCATATTCTGCTGTAATTTATTTGTTTATTTCCGGTAATTTAATTGGTTAAAAAGGAATTAAAAACAAAAAGAGTTAATGATTTCTAAGATCGTGACTTGTCTAGCTTCTATGAGTAGGCGTCATCACGACTCCCGAGAGTGGGAAATCCGATCGTGACAGTTGAACACCTTGTCGCGTAACTACAAATAATGATCCTAGCGGGTCTAGGTTGTATAACTGACCTGCATGGTTAGTGAGACCGAATGGTAGCTCCGTTACTATACGACTTTTATTGGGTTCAGGTCCAGCAACATCACAAACTAAGATGCTACCATTATAATCAACTGCATAAATTTTCCCATTAAAATGTATGACATCATCGTGGGGAGAGTGACAACGTTCTTGCCAGTTAATCCTGGTCCATGTCAAATCTCCTGGCCTCCAGAAACTAAGGAAAGAGATGTCTCCGTCAATGACCATGCATGACAACGTAATCGGATGTATGAGAAGGACTAGCTGACAAAACTGCTTTCCGGAAAAAGGTCATTGGATGAGGTGGTTGGTAGATATCATAATCTATGGTGGTATTTGGATGTGGCAATTCGATCTGACCACCAGTGAAAGGATGTAGCAGACTAATTTCACCATCTTCGGCAACAGTGACAAGCCACCCCATAGACTCCATACATCGTTTCCCTGTAGCCTTGGGAATACTTCTGTTCAAAATCATGCCATTATAGAGGCTGAAGAATTTCCTATAAGAACTGACTCCATCTGATGTTTCATTATCTTCCTCGGCTAACATCAGCCAAGGAACCCGAGGCAGGTTACTGTTAAAATTATTCTTGGTGGCGGCAGAATGCCATGATTTACAGACAGTACGGAAATTTAGGTAGTCTTCAATCAAATTTAAATGTTTACCTATAAGAACCAACAGATCAGTTTGAAGTTCCGACCAATCAACAGGCGATTCCGACCGAACCGGCAGATCAGCCAGATCAGGTTGAAGTTGAGCCATTAGGGTACACGCAAAATCAATGGCAAGCGTTGAGAAAAATCCCTATATTCGGAGAATAGAACCCGCCAAGCGTGCTATATATATAGCGAATAAATTTTTTTACAACAGCTCTCCGAAATAATTAGGGACTCACGTGGTGTGGTGGTAGATTTTTCTTTTCTTCGAAATTTTAACTTAATCTTGCTTTTTTCCAATTAGATGCTTAGTTGATGGTTACGAAAAGGAAATTAAAACGAAAAAAGACTTCCCAATATCGGTGATCAGGGGAATGGTAATTCTTTCATTATATTATTAGGTCTACTTTTTCGTAGTAAAAAGATTTTATAATTGGAAATCTTGTATTTTAAGATCCAACTAGTCAAAACAAAGGCACGAGCAATCTATACAGTTGTAAAATTTAAAACACTATGTATCTTGAGCTATTCAACCAAAGCAATTTTGTGATAAAAAGTTAGTACGATAAGTGAAAGAAAGTTTGGAACGTAACTTAGAAACATAAACGGGTAACGTTCATTAAAAAGTAATAATTTGAAGTAAAGACAATTTGGGCATACAACACAAAGTACAGCAACAACGATATTGTTAGCATAATAATATGAAGTAAAGACAATTTGGGCATACAACACAAAGTACAGCAACAACGATAAACTGTACTAATGTAACAAGTTGTGGTAAGTTATGCTGCGCAGACTCATTAATTAACATTGTTTACCCTGGAATCCGGATAACAATTGAATTTATATGGGGTTTTAAGGATCCGTGAACTAAAAGATACAAAAGGTTTGGATTGAGGAAAATAAAAGATAAAGACTCAACAATTGCTGCTAAAGTAAATAATCGCAGAATATAATATTGCTTAGAACAATTGTGCTTGATAGCGTACAAGAATTGAGAGAGATGGTACCCTAGTGTAATGGTTTCAGATCCCCTCTTTATGGGGTCTTCTCCCCTTTTATACATTCTGATTAAGGGTAAAAATAAGGTAGGTAAATTAATTACATCGTGGATCCCTGTAATTACGCCTTAATGGCCTGAAGTGGTTGAGAAAATCACGTTTGGGCGAGATATCCGGCGACGCTTGGTTATCCGTTACGAGTCCGGCTTCCGACCTTGTGTGTTTCTCCATCCGGTGGTGACTCATATCGAGCTCTGCAACGGTCTCGAAATGACTCGACCTCGGTTGTTGACGTGGCCGTCGTTCTACCTTGCATCCAGGTCGGGTTCGATGGCCCCGACTTGCCCCGGACCGGACCCAACCCGGTCGGGCTCAAGCAAAAAGGGTATCACCCAATACAGATAGTCCCCTCGTTTATTAGAGAGTAATGATAATAAACGATATGATCGGTGACGTGATGCCCGTGACGTATGGCCATACGCCAGCTGAAAAAGCCATCGAGTGCTCTGACCACG